TTTAAAATTATATATATATAATATTAATTTTATAAATTATATCTATATTTTAAAATATATTAACTCTATAATATATTCTATATTTTTTTATTTTATAAATATACTAGAGATTCTTATATAGCTCTAAAACTAGAACTACTATTTATTAATAAAAAAAAGAATATAAAGTTAAAAATATAATTATAAACTATTAATATAAAGAATAATTTTAATTTCTAGTTTAATAGTATAGATAAGACTCTAGTTATAATATATAGAAACTATTTAATTATATTAAAAATATTATTATACTAGATACTTATAAAGAATAGTAATATCTACTATAAAAATATAAAAGAGGAATATCTATAATATTTATGAATTATATAAAATCTTAAATTATAGAAAGAGAATTATTAATTTAAAAAAAAAAAATAAAAAAAAAATAAAAAAAATAAAAAATTATTTATTATTTTTATAGAGAGCCTCTCCCAGGGATTTTTTAAAAATATAAATTCCTATAGAAGGCCTCTTCCAGAAACTTTTTAAAAATAGAAATCTCTAAAGAGAACCTCTTTTAAGAATTTTTTAAAAATAAATAATCTATAGTACTAGAATTAAAATATATAGTATTAGAATACTAAGTATAAAATTATAGAATATTAGATAAAGATATAGTAAATATAAATAAAAATATTTATAAATAATCTAAAAAGAGGCTTTTATTTTAGCTAGTAATAAAGAAAGCTATATCTTTATTTCTTTTATAAAAATAAAATATATAATAATAAATAATAATCTTTAATAAATTATAGCTACTTCTAATAATACTAGCTTAAAGAAGTATCTTATTAATAATAAGATATATCTTAATAATAACTACCCTATAATTTTAAAAAAGAGAATTAGTAAAATAATCTAGATTTAATATAAAAAAATTAAAATACTTATTTTACTATAAAACTAGATATTATATTTATTATAATAATAAGTATTATACTATTTTAAAAAGCTATTTAATATTATAAGTAAGTAAAGCTTATTATAAAAAAGATATATATAATATATAATAGCTAGAGTAGGGAGTATAAAATAAGAAATTAATAATATAAAAAAAAAGACTAAAAATATAAAAAAAAATATAAGAAGATAATAAAAATAAAAATAAAAATATAAATATAAATATAGATAAGAGAGTTAAAAAAAAACTTATCTCTAAAAAAATATTTATAATAAAATAAGCAAGGTATATCTTATATATATAATATATATTAATAATATAGATAATAGCAGACTTCTTATATAATAATATCTAAAAATATTATATTAATAAGATTTTAAATATAAAAATAATTATAAAACTAGATTAATTAGAAACTAGAAATAAAAAAATAAAATATTATAGAATAATAATAAAATACTAAGAACCCTAATAATAATATTAATATAATTTATAAAGTAAAATAACTACTAAAAATAGAAATTAATATAGAAAAATATATAAAATAATATATTTAAAGTTTAAACTAATTAGATAAAATCTTATAAAGAACTAAATAATTAAAAAAATAAAGTATAGATATATTATATATAGATAAAATTTTTAATAATAAAATTTTTATAAGTTCTTAAGTAAAATAACTAGTAAAAAGCTTATTTAAATTATAAAAATTAAAAAAATCTAAATACTAAATATTAATATAATTATTTAAGATATAGTTAAGAAATAGTAATATAAAATTTCTATTATTAAACTAATATATTATTATATTAATCTATAATATAGTACTAGAAGACTTAATTTAATTTAAAAAAATATTAATAAGATTTATAAAATTAAAATAACTATAAAAATAAAAGAAATTAACTAATAAGCTATATAAATATAAAGAAAATATTTATAATAATAAAATATAAGATATCTAGAAAAAAAAGAAAAAAAGAAAAAATAAATAAAAAATAAATAATATTTTAATATTATAGTATTATTAAATTATATATAAATTTATTTATAATAAATATTAGTTATATAATATCTATTTATACTATTAAAGCTATTTATATTAATAAAATAATAATATACTAATTTTAGATACTTATTATAAATTTAATTTTAAATTTATAAAACTAAGTTTAATACTGTTAGTTTTTTTTTTATATTCTAACTATAGAGCCCGTTAAAAATAGCTAATCATAGAATTATAATTATTTAAAAAAAATAATTATTATATATTATTATTTATAAATACTATATAAGTATATATTATACTACTAGTTCTTAGCTAGAAGAACTAGTAATTAGTTCTATTAAATATAGATCTATCTTCTATTAACTATATATTATATCTTTATAATCCCTAGAGAGCTGCTATATTAGTATTACAGCCTTATATAATAATATTATACAGACTTTTAAATTTTATATTTTAAAATAGCTATTTTAGAGAGTACTAGCTATATAATTAGAATACTTTATATATTTGTGATCATACTGAATAGGAAGCATGTGATTTACTATATGATGGATCATTAGGAATTGCGTGCCTTAGGATTCAGGCGGCTAGTTGAGCAATATAGTTGGCTTATATATTACCATGACTGAAAACTGCTTAGTAAGTAGCTTTTCAGGACCTTTTTAGTCTATGGTATAAGACCCTCTGTAAAGCTCTATACCTGCTTGTAAGGAGTAGGACTAAGTTAGTCTCTAGCTTATTTAGTATATAGAAGAATCTCTTTACTTTATAAAGAGAGAATATATAAATCTCTAATATTAATCTATTAATAATATTTATTTCTTAAAATATACTATTTATAATCTCTATATCTTTTTTATTAGGTGTATTACACCCTTTCACATTATTTGTAAACAACCCCTAAGGCCAAGGGCCTTATATATGGGGTGGATCACAGGATCATGGTTAGCGTGGCTATCACATATTTATATTTATTTTTTTACTTAATCTAGTCTTTTAATAAAATAGAGATTATATATCTTCAAAATTTACTAGAGATATTAATACTCATTATTTAAAATAACCAGAGATTAATTATAGTATTAATATATTTTTAAATATTTTAATCCCTAGAGTCTACTTGGTAGATATACTATTTTATTTTATATAATTTTTATAGCATTAGAATAATAAGTAGGTTAGATAATTGTAAGGCACTGACGAAAGAAAGAATGTAAATCGATTTTTCGAAGCCGTAAGCTTCCATAGAGGATTGTAGGGATAAAGAAACTCTCAAGAACTTGCAGGTTCATGTAAAAGGATACTGTATAGTGGTTGCTAACTATTCATAAAACTGATGCTTAAGGCAAGTGTCCGGTAAGACAACTAAACTAATTATGATGTTGTTGGTCACGTGGATCACGTGTTTTTCTGTCAGCACCAAACGATACCAAAGGTCTAGCAACTATCAGGTGATATTAACATATAAAGGAATTAGGTTCAGCCAATCAGATAGCTCTGTTAGAAACAGAATAAATTACTTAAGGATCTATAGAACTAGAATATCTAGAGATCTTATATAGAACTTCCTTTAAGGATAGCCTCTAATAGTAGACTAGTAGTAGTCTGGTACTTAATCCCTCTAAGTTAGACTATTAGATAGTTATATAGTTCCCTTATATATATCCTTCCTAATTAGGAATATATAAGGCTGTGGTTGCCTTCACAGGATTATAATATATCCATTCCTTGGTAGTACTTGTTCGAGATACTCAGGGATTAGCAGTTAGTTAGTCAGCAGTTGTCGGTCAGTAGGCACTCCAGCAGCGGTCCGCAGGGGTCACATAGTAAAGTCACGTGGCACGGCCTTGGCATGTCGTGACAATAATATAGAATCTTTTCTAGGAAATATAACTAGCTTTATCTCTATAACTAAGGCTTTTTTAAAAAAAATTATTTCTAATATAATTTTTATATAGAATTGGTTTTATAATGAAAGATAATGGATGAAAAATAATATAATTCTTCTATTTATCTTCTATTTCTACTACTTTTTAATATATATCTTTTTAGTGTTTTATAGCTGTTAGCTTTATATATGGTAAAAAGCCTTATAATTATATAGATTAAGCTAGTTTTATAATTTAATTTACTATAGTTCCTATTCTCCTAATATTTTATATATATATATATATATATATATGTAGGGGTTAACTATAATTATATATATATTTGGAGAGCAGGGTATATTCTATATATTATTGGATAGAGACATTAATAACTACTCCAACTACCATCTACTTAAATAAGCTAGATCTATCAAAGTTCTCCCTCATAATAGTTTTATTATAGATTATATGAATAATACTATAGTTAAATATTGTTATTAAAATTTCAGAGGCTTTTTTACAGCTAGATATATATAATTTATAGGGGTTAAATTCATAGTAAAGGATCAGATATATAAGGTATTAAGGGAGTGGTCCACCGAAATTTCATGGGGTTTTATATAATAACTATAATAGTAAAAATTATGATTGGTTACTAATATATATATATTCAAAATTAAAATTTACAATCTTTAAATTATAATCTTAACATATATACTAAATGTTAATCCTACCACTTAGGTATTGAATACTGATATAGGAGAAGTCCCGTCCCCTTCAACAGGATCGTCAATATCGACACCATAAAACCATGTTTTCATGAATATAAGGATACTGTCATGGTGGAGACTCCTTTATTCTGAATGAATCAAATATAGAGAGCTTCTAAAGACTAGCACCGATGCTATTCACCCCACGGACATACTCTGCATCCCAGACTCTGGATCAAACAACCAACCCCAGCGGAATTCCGAAGCGGCTACGATTCCCTCCACTTGCAGGTTGGCACCCTGACCCAACAGATGCTGATCGCGTTACTGAAATGCTATTGACCCGGCAAACTGGCAGCGTGCGTGTTGGTGAAGTTATCAGGTTTGCTTCTACTCCTCACGCTCCTTGTCACTCGACAGGGCCTTAGTTTATTATATTAATATCCATCAATAGATATACATTAACATACACGCCAACAACCGACGAACTCCAGCCTCCAGCGGCCCTACGTGTGAAAATAAAAAATACATCAGCCATACCACTGCGAGCCGCGTACTTGCATGGCCCATATACATTGTATACATCATGCTACCCGCATTCATTTGATCCTAATACCACAACAATAGCCCCTGATTCTAGAAATGTGCCGCAATTCGAACCTTATCTCAAAGCCGGCGGCACATGGAATGCCCAGATCCCCATACCGAGGCATGACAAGCGCGCAGATCCTGGAAATCCCAATGAGGGATATTCAAGTGGACATAATACGACATGGGTTATTGAGATTGTATCGCAAGTTATATTCTCAAGCACTGCGTCGGTCAATTTTGAGCTTCTGGTTAGCCGAGATATGTCATCAGATCTTCAAACCTCGAAGACGCAGTTTAACCCACCCAAGGCTGCAAACATGCGTGACCACTGGCCATCTGGCTCGAACGGCAAGCAGCAGCGTGTCACCAAAGGCGTGTATTCGGATTCCGTCCATCTGCTGATAGATGACACCGCTAGTCTTTGGAATACTCCACAGTTCCCCGTATCATGCGATGACGAACGGACTAGGAACGTGAGCTCGATGGAAAGCAGACCTAATGTGGATGCTGTTGGTCCTGCACGAGGAGCCGGAACATCGGAGACTGGTGGATCGCCCAAGAATCGCCGAAAAAACATTCACCTTGTTGTGTTAACCCATGGGTTACATAGCAACCTTGGTGCAGACATGCTGTATCTTAAAGAGAGCATCGATGCTGCATATAAAAAAACCAGCTCCGCACGAAACGGCCAATCTTCCACGGGCGAGCCGACGTTGGCGCCCTCGTCATTCTCGGGAAGGTAGGTGCAACAATTTTAGCCCCTATCCGAACAAACTATCCACTCGTTCACTTTGTCCGCCCTACTGACGCCATGGATTGATATCCACCCAGCTGCAATGTTCATGGTGACGACGATGATCGCCAAAGCGAGGACATTATTGTTAGAGGGTTCCCAGGGAACGCGGCCCGTACCGAACGTGGAATCCAATACTTGGGCAAGCGCCTCGCAAAATACGTGCTCTTGATGACTTATCCTGACCAGCCTCATTTACCCCACAAAAAACCGAAGCCTAAGAGCCGTTCCAATTCGTTCGTTCCGTGGAGTGGACAGGAGGCGGTCGACAACGCTGAATCTTCCCGCGTAGACGAAGGGCTGTTCGACGCTGGTGAGCATCATGCATATCAGATAACAAGTATTAGTTTCATTGGACACTCTCTCGGTGGCCTTGTGCAGACGTATGCAATCGCGTATATCCAAAAGCACTCCCCCGAATTCTTTGACAAAATCAGACCTGTTAACTTTATCGCGCTTGCGACGCCATTCCTCGGATTGAGCAATGAAAATCCTATGTATGTTCGGTTTGCCTTGGATTTTGGCCTCGTTGGCCGCACTGGCCAGGATTTAGGACTGAGTTGGACCGCACCAAAGATTCGGAGTGGATGGGATGCCATAATTGGTGGGAAGGGGGAATCCTCTAGGCTACGGGGCGATGAAAACACCCGCTCCAAGCCTTTACTGAGGATTCTTCCCTCTGGCCCTGCTCACGAGGTGCTTGTCAAGTTCAAGCGGCGCACAATATATTCTAATTTGGTTAATGATGGGATTGTTCCGCTACGAACTTCGTGCTTGCTCTACCTTGATTGGAAAGGATTGCAACGGGTTGAGAAGGCAAGACGAGAGAATGGGATTGTTGGAACTGTGGCTGAATGGGGGTGGTATGAATTGACTGGGGCAAACTCGAAGTCTCCAAATAACGCTCGTTGCGCCAAAGATGGCTCGGAAGTGACATGTGCTTCTTCAAGTGCCACGGAAATCGCGAAGGACACTGCCGTTACAATAACCCCGCAACGAGGTACTACCACTCAACATTTGTCCTCTCCCACCTCTTCTTCCGTTGGAAGAAGGCCCCCAGATCATGCCCAACCGCTCTACGGAGCCGATGATGCATTTAATAACAACGAACTGGATGGAGGACCACCGCATACGCCGTCTAGTTCTCTGAGTGGCTTCTTTTCGATATTCAAACCAAGAGAACCTAAATACAAACACGAAAAATTCCTCAAGCGCTCCCAAACAAATGCTACTCCGATAGCCACAAAGGTGATACAGCAGGATGATTCTCATTTAAACACCACTTCTCGCGATTCTGGATTTAATGCACCCCCCAAGACAACACTATTCGAATCCGCTGGCGACATCCTCATGCCACCACTACCCCCGGTTGATTACATTGTGAACCCTGCATCACGGCAGCGTGCGATTTTGCATGACCGGATTTATTATCCTGAAGACATTCCTCCTCCAATGGTGAAGCGGCAGAAGACAGGGATAAATGCATCTCATGATGGAATCACAGCAGCGGATCATGCCTCTGCTGAAGGGCCTGCAGATGAGGCCGGACTCAAGGTGGAAGAGAAGATAGCCCGTAGTTACCACCGTGGGCTCTCATGGCGGAAGGTCCTTGTTCGCTTGGAACCTGACGCACACAATAATATTATTGTTCGGCGAATGTTTACAAACGCCTATGGTTGGCCGATCGTGCAACACCTTGTCGATGCTCACTTTCGACCGGACTCTCCGAGTAGCAAGGGAAGTATTTGTGAAGATATCCCAACTTCACCTGTGGCGGAAGCAGAGGATTGCTGCCATGATAATACTCGGTTAACCTCTGTTCTGAATGATGACAACTAAAAGCGCCAGAGCCGGGGGAGTACAGGCCCTGTGTATATGCCTGCTTCACTCCAAAAAAAAAAAAAATCGCAAATATCAGTCAGTGTATAAAGAGTCCCTTCTTCGACAGGGCGCTTTATTGGGAATGACTCCGGGTACAGAGCACTTATCTTCGGACACAGGGCCTTAGCCCGATTCGGAATTACCCTTTTGGAAATGCTAAGTTGCCTTCAGATACAGGGTATTAGTCTGACTGTCAATCTATACGGCCTTTACTACTGTAGCTCTAAATAGCCCTAGCTAGAAGATTTAATCCAAGGTTCTATTAGTTCCTAACTTCCTGGAGCTATAATTTACTAGATATCTCTATATGAATTTTGGTTATAAATACCTGCTTACTCTTTTCTACTATCTAGCTAGAATCTAATAATAGCTCAGTTATACAGAACTCCTCAGGTTATGGACTGATTGTATAAGGCTAATTCTGGAAATTACTGTAAATTTGAAGTCTTCTTCAACATAACTAGCTTGAGTGCCTTACTGAGCAACGGGTGGTCAATTGCCCCCACAGCTTATCGATAAGCAGCCCCACCACACGATAATTAAGCCGTGATTTACTCTTCTGTCAAACTTTAGGTAGTCACCGGCCACTGATTTTCTGTTAATCATATTCCAGCGCGCCCCATTCAATTTCCTCCAGAGCATAGACACACAGCAACAGAAAAGAACAAAGGTCGACATGAAAACTGAACTGGACGAGGTGCGTGATGTTATGGTATACTTCCCGTTCCCGACCCTTGTCTCTAATCAATTTTTTCCTGTTTCAGCTGGTTGAATTCCTTCATCATGGAAATACTCAAATCAGACAAATCGGTAAAGTTAACATGCAAATCCGCTTGAACTAATAATAACGGTTTGTAGCGTGCGAAAATCTAGTAGGATATTCGACATCCAAGCCAGAGATTTTTAAATGTCATCAGCTTCTACCGATACGGGATTTGAAGCTCCTCGTTCGAGACTATACAGTCAGTGAGCACCCCTCTTTTGATTTTTGGACATAAGGGAAAACCAACTTCTGTGAAGTGAAAGGTTCTGACGGATTGACAGCCAATCGCGAGTGATGCCTTAACGATACTTGTCAATCTTTCCGGCGACAAGGAAGTACTCGATAACCTTGTCAGTGACGATGCTTTCATAGAAACTCTACTCGCGAAAGTGACTGTATGCTTCCCACCACCCATTCCAACACCCTATGTTTTGCCTTACCGTCTACGAGCCTCGGGACATTTTTATTCCCAGGTGCTGCACAGTTCACTTACAAGCTTGATGATAGAACAACAAGGAGCGGAATGCGGATGGCGTCGCCATGCTATTCGCCAATCTCGGGAAATCAGAGAAAATAAAAAAATTGTTATCCCTTAAACGTCGATCCGCCCAGCCTGTGTCTAGTTCTGTGTATGTGGTGGATCAGTTGATGGATTGTTTCGTGAAGGGCGCCGAGGGCGCACTCAATCAATATTCGGACTTCGACTATCTATCATATCTTTTTGCCGATCTGTCGAAGCTGGAGGAAGGGCGCACCTATTTTACGTCGAGACAGGATTACGATGGAGTCGTGCCTGTGACAAAACTTACTGTCTTCACTGAGCATACGAGTACAGTTAGACGGAGGGGCGTCGCATCAACCATAAAAAATGTTGCGTTCGAGATTCCTTTCCATCCAACCCTCTTTTCTGAAGACGATGCAAATATTCTCCCTTATGTACTTCTGCCTATTATGGGCCCAGAGGAATACACCGAAGAGGATTCTGCCGACATGCTTCCGGACCTCCAGCTGCTCCCCCCCAACAAACAGAGGGAGGGTGACAGCGGAATAATTGTTACTCATCTTGAAACACTGCTTTTGCTGACAACTACCCGGGAAGGACGCGAAAAAATGAGAGCTGTCAGTGTTTATCCTGTAATCCGAGAGTGCCACCTTCACGTTGATGATGATGGCGTCCGTGAGGCATGTGACAGATTGGTGCAGGTTCTCATGCGAGACGAAGAAGAAGATGGGAAATCCTCTGCGATACAGGCTCATGATGATGACCAGAAGGTTGTGGAATTATTCTGATTATTACTGGCGCCATTAGAATCGACTTCGCCGGTCCTTCGTCCATCCGGAGATTAGATCTTTCGGATAGATCCGATTCTCATTCAACATATATGTACATCAAACCAAAACAGCTACCTGTGCACCAAACATTGACCTTCCCTAGACTGATTTGAATCTCCATTGACAGAGAACATCAACATTGATACGGTACTTACCGAATACACTGTGTCGCAGCGGCTGTAGATGGTACTGGTGGTGGTTTGAGAGATGGATGTGGTTAGCCCATTGTTATGATGTTGAGAGTATTTAGACTTTAGCATCTCTCATTTTAGTTTGAATTACTAATGGTATCTAAAGTACAATAATTACTATATAATAAAATGCGGTGGACCCAGCCGCCAAGAAAGAGCAGGCAATCCAGACATGCCAGGCAGTATGCATATTACCCACACAGTATAGGGGATATAAATACATATATATATAAAGCAATACAAGACCATAAGGATTAGTCATATATAACTATTGGATTATAATAAGTAATAAGTATGGTTTATTAATATTAAACGATTACTTTACTCCGCAGTCTCCGTAATATAAGCCTGTAATATTAATACTGCGACTCCGGAGGATTATAGAGATAAAATATATAGTTGGTAGAATACAGATTTATATTTAAATAGAACTAATTACCAGTACCCGTAACCCGAATATACAGAGTACTGAAACCTTTTGTTATTTAGCATGGAGTGCAGAATAACTGCCACTCCCGGCGCCTCTCTGCTGGATGGTTGGGGGGGATCATACAGAATAGAGTACTGTGATGAGTTGAAAGTGGTCAAATCAGACAAATATCAAATGAATTACCATCTCAGTTCGACTGAACAATTTATGATGTACGGAGTACTTCTATCCATCCCTACCTGCCGTACCATTGACCTAACCAATAATGCGGCTCAAACGACCAGATCCGAGCCAAGGCCAAGGTTAAGTGGATCCAAGAGAAAGGCTTATATAAGCAATAAGTAGTCACTTTATTGCTCATTCAAGCTTCAGTGTTTCTGCTCCGTCAAATTACCTTTAAGAAACGGGTTTATATCAGTTAACGTTCTCCCCAAACACGAAGTTCCAAACAGTGTTCATCTCGCAACCCCATAGGTACCACTGCACGCCCTGGCGTCGCTATTCGAAAGCTCTAAGCAGCCATTATGACCACACCGACGAACAAACCGACTCCGCAAATGCCAACAGGGTCATCCGGCACCCAACCCTTGCGCATTCGACGGCCCAGGGTAGCTGACCCGCTTGTGCGTCCGAAGCGAAAGACCGCAACGAAAGGCCCTCTAGGAGATGGACAAAAGCTTAGGTCGTTCCCTACTCGACCAGCACCACCCAACGCGCAACCTGACAGACCCAATATACCCCCCGCAAAAAGTGAGTTTGCTTCCAATGGATTCAGTGGTCCTCTGTTATCTCAGTCCTATGTCGATTACCCCCTTGTGATCACAAAGCGGGCGATTAAAGAAGGATTGAAACATCACGTTGCGAGGTTCGCCTCAAAGAAGGTAGTAGATCCCCGCGATGAATCCCAGTTCACTAGACCAGTCAGGCTTCAACGCCGGGATCCTCGGTCACGAATACATGAATTAAATACAGAAAAAGGGCCTGGTGGACAAAGGCTATCCTCGGAGACAAGCAACCAAGTTGATGAACTCGAACGGGAAGATATGGAGGCCAGAAAAGCTGCGCGTGAAAAAGAGCGAGCAGACAACCTTGCTCAAATTGCGCCATCCATCGGATCCGCCCCAAAACGAACCAACATACCCAAGCAGAAAACACAACAAGTTTCCAAAACGGACATGACACCAGAAGAAATTGCTAGAACTCGGATCAAATATGAAGAGGCCCTGCCTTGGCATCTTGAGGATTTCGACAACAAAAATGTTTGGGTTGGAAATTACGAAGCAGCATTGTCAGAAACCCATGCAATCTTTATACTGGAGAGCACGGGGAAAATGACGATGATACCAGTCGAAAAGTGGTATAGGTTTAATGCGAAACACCAATTCAAAACCTTAACCATCGAGGAGGCAGAGAAGTTTATGGCAAAGAAAATAAAAGATCCTAGGTGGTTCATGGAAAAACAACAGGAGCAAGCTCAACGCAGGGAACTCGAGCAGTTCGCAAAGCAACGCAAAGTGTACGCTGGGAAGCAGGGTACCCCTGCCGCAGAAGGCCTGGAAGCCGATGAAATGGATTTCGAAGAAGATCGATTTGCGGATGATGAAGAACATGACGATTTATTCAATGAAGATGAAGATGCGAAGACTGCGGAGAAAAGAATAAAGCAGGATCAACTTAAAGCGAATGTTTTTGACCTGAAGGATGAGAAGGAATACGAAGAAGAAGAATTAAAAGAGAAAAGGGAGAAGGAAGCTCGACGAGTACTTGGAAAAAAAGTACGCAAAGCACTTCAGAAGAGGGAGAAAAATTTCGATTACAGCAGTGGTTCTGATGCGAATCCCTATACGGACGAAGAGGTATGTTGATAACCCGGCCACGAAATCTACAAGAGATCTAACCTCGAATATAGAGTTCCGATGAGACAGATGCTGAGAAAAGTAAGGAGGAGGAACGGAAGGTCGAAGAAGAGAGGAACAAAAAGGACCCGGCGACCCCATCGAAAGGCAACACCACGCCTTCAGGTCGCCCAAAGCATTTTGATACGTCGAAGAAGGCAGCCATTGGTGTGTCACGGAAGCGCCTCGGGTCCCCTAATGTATCGGATGCGAGTGGAACAGACACATCTCGTAAGAACGGGAAGAGCAAACCCTCAACCTCGCAATCTTCAACACAACCGGGATCCCGCCCCATGACCCCTGTCACATCATCTGTACCGGTGCGTGTTTTATTACCACCCCAAACA